AGCAGGACCCGATGTGAGCCTGGAGTTAGGCTCCACCCCACTTAGAGCCCCAGGTGCTCCTCAGCAGGGAGGCAGCTTCCAGCTGTCTCAGTCCCTGCAGGATGGTGCTCTGCTGGGCTCCTGGCCTCGGTCTGCTGCTTTTCCCCTCCGCTGAGTCTACGTGACCCTCCCACTGAAGGAGGGACTCCTAAAGGGCCCTTCTGTGCCAGGAACAGGGATCTCTTGCCTTAAAAATAAGGAAAGATCCTGGCAGAATTCTACTAAGTTTCAAAGATACCTAAGGGAGAGCCAGCCTTGCGGTATCCCTGGGCAGAACAAGACTGCCATCCCTTCCCTCAGTACTGCCTATGGGCCTGGCTCTCTCTGAGAATCCGTCCTCAGAAGGTCTTGCTGTCCCCAGAATGTTACACTGGGGTCTCCCCTGTGCTATGGGACCAGGTTGAAGCTAGGCACAAGTTCCTAGAAGCATCTCCCCTGGGAAGCCCGAGAGCGTGGTCTGTTAGTAAACTCAAGGCAACTCAAGCCTAGTCAGCTTAGGTCGGCTCTACCCAGGCAAAGCCAAGTCACCTGATGTGACACAACACACCTCACCTCAACGCAGGCCCACCGTGAGCATCCCTGCATGTCCACACCCCAGTTTCGGCTGGGGGAAAGGCAGAATCCAACAGTTACGGGCACCATCTGGGTGCTGGGGGGGGGAGTCTCTGTTTCGAACCCACATTCCAGACTCAGACTTTCCCTGGAGCTGAGGAACCCTCTGCACAAATGGCCCAGAGACAGGCAGTCAGTAGCTAGCTCTACAGAGTCTGCCTCTGAAGACTTTCACACCACCATCCTGGGGGTCTGTGGCTTGAGACCTCGGACTGCAGAGCCAGGCGGGTCTGGTTTATATGGGTCCTAAGTCACTAATTCATTCGTTCATTTATTCACAAACGTGCACCGAGCACTCACTGAGTGATGTGTTGCCAGATATCTCTCGGCAACATACCATTCAATTCCCATGGCATTCAGTGTGGGTGTGGGACCATCCCTGATTCCGAAGCCCAGGCTCTCTGCATCTCGTTCGACGGTCTCTTAGCACAATGGCACAGAATCATAATGACGGATAAAGATCGCCAAGAACTTACACATACACATCCTATATGGAGGGAAAGGGTGGATTGATGAATATTTTATGTAAGGGCAAATCCCACTCAACCAGTTTATTAGAATTCTTTGAGAAGTGAACTATCCCTGCCTATACTAGAGAGATAAAGGGTGACTTTCACAAAAAGCCTTTGTCAAGTTCCCATCCCAAAGCCTATTAATAAAATTGATTCATTATAGAATTGGGCAGAGGTGGGTGGTGAGTGGGAGGGAGTCTATTTTTGCCTAGATAGAGAACTGGCTTAGAGACAAGGAAGAAAGTGTGGAGATAAATGGGTGCTTTTCAAAGGGAGAACTTCGGTTCCCCACGAATCGGTGCTGGGTACGGTCTTACGTAACACTCAGTCCACACACCCCTAGCATACATGTGTGCGGGTCTCACATTGAACGTGGTGGTGGTGGGATGTTGACCCAAACAAGCCAGTGTCAGCTCTTGTGAAAGGGCCCTTGGAAGGAGACGCTCAGTGACATTCAGGTTTGCAGAGGAGACGCTCCTCGGGCTGAGATGCCATGACACTGGGGTAATGCTGAGGAAGGTAGCTGTGGGCATGGAAAAGCCCCAGAGGGCAATCAGAAGATTGGCTCTAGTGCCACCTGCTCTGTTGGATTCTCTGTGTGACACTGGGCAGCCCCTCCCCTGTCTGGGTCTTGGTTTTCCCCTCTGTACAATGAGGGGCTTGGAGGACAATCGTAAGGGGTGGTGCTCGGAGCAGAAGACGATGACTTGAAACAGGAATGGCTAGGGGAGTCTCCATTTGCAGTGGCAGGAACGTCTCCTGTCCTGCTCTGTGTGGGGACCTTGCTCTCTCTCCCCGTTATTTGTGAGCAGTGACGATGAGCCAGAGAGCCATGAGGTCTGCGATGCCGGGGCGCAGAGCCCAGCCTGGAATCCCTCAGTGGCTTTCGCTGCGGATGACTCAGCGTCATAAATAGCTCCCATCTGGGTGAGCAGCGATATCTATAGCGATCGGGCGAGCTCTGCATCCACGCACACTCTCTCTGTGCAAATACGCGGCGCGCTGTGTGCTAAATACGAGTGGCCTGGAGACGTTCCTCCTCTTAAGAGACTATTTGGTATGAAACTGAAGACTGTTTATTTAAAGAAACAAGTTTACAACTATGCAGGCTGGATTGCTGGTGGTGGGTGTTGGGAAGAGGCAGTTGGACGAACCGCCCTGCGTGTGAGCTGAGCTTGGCCGGCCACCTGGAAGAGAAGCGGAGGCTGACTGCTCCACCCTCGTCCTCTGTCTACAGAGGGGGGTAGCGGCACCACACACAGTCGGGGTGTGGAGCTCATCAGTGCGGGAAGCCATGGTCTAGCAGAAGGAGCACAGTGCTTGCTGGTGACCAGGGCCTCGCCCAGCCCCGCTCTGTCATTGACCTTGGGCAGCTCATCACGCATTCATTCATCAGACACGAAGCAAGCGCCCATGTGCACATAGGCCACTGAGTTACAGACAAGGAAAAGTCAGTCGGGATTGGGACTCAGCCACTTACCAGCCACGTGCTGTGTGCAAGTCCTTTTCCCTCTCTGAGCTTCAGTCCTCGTCCTGGACTGAAGCTAACTATCACCTCAGGGTTTACGGGGAGCATTGAGTAAGATAATACCCTGGAAAGTGCTTCTTTGTTGTAAGCGACTCTGAAAACGCAAGCTAGCCCCATTCTACCACATTGCCCAATCACGTTGTCCCATTTCGACCGGGGCGTGTTCTTGGCGATAGCAGAAGGACACGCCATCACACCTGGGGCGCCCTAAACACCACCCAAGGGTGTTACCTGGGCGGCTCTCCTACCTTTGCTTCCAGGCCGAGCTGGGACGCAGAGGCCTTCAGGAGCAGAGCACGACAGGGAGCATGGCAGGTGCACGACTTCCTGGAGGGGAAGAGAGGACGTGGGGTCACGGGGAGCCTGTGAGAGCTGGCCTTCTGAAGGGGCAAGGCCCCGGACCTCCGTGAGGGTGTGCCCTCACCTCTCCCCAGGACACTGCTGCTTTGGGTTCCATGGAAGACTAACCACGGTGCTTTATGGGGTCCCCGTGTGGCATCAGCCTCAACTCCGCCCACTTCACCGGAGCTGACAGCAGGTGGCCGCTGCTCCCTGGTTCAGGCAACACTCCTGCGCTGTTGCCCGCGCTGTGCTCTGACAGCGTGAGCTCTGATCGGTGCCCATAGGCTAGAGTGGCTGTTCGTCATATCTGGTTTTAAGTTCCAACTTTGGGTACAGCCGTTACGTCTCTCTAACCTCATTTTCCTCGTCTGTAAAATGGGACTTGTATTAATAATAGCACTCCTTCATAAAGTGCCCCATAAGTGCTTGCTGTGGTGGTGGTTAAACAAGACCATGTCTGCCATGATACTGGTGACGCGCAGCTACCTCCCTCTGCTTTCTTCCGGGGCTCCATGCATTCCTTACAGGGCAGGTGCTGGCTCCCAGGTGATCTAGTTCCTGGGCTTTGTGTCAGGCCTGACAGCACTTAGGCGGCAGTAGGAGTTGGTGGACAGCACTGCCTGGTGAGCTTGCAGGGTTAGCGAGGCTGCTGTTCCATTAGGGCTAGGGTCTATTGAGGAAGACACAGGTGTGGAGAGGAGGTGACCTAACAGGGCCACACGGGGTGGAGCTGGGATGGGAACCCACTCCTTACTCTTCCCACTCAGCCCCTGCTCTCTGCTGTAGCCGGGGTCTCCCTGGGCTGGGCGCCAAGGCCTGGTGAGTGTGGGCCCTACATTCAACCTCACCTCCTCCCCAACTGCCTATTTTCTCTTCTTCCTGTAACCCTAGTCCTGCTCATGGTGGCCCAGGAAGCAAATGCTTCTTCTACAGATGGGGTCTCGGTGCAGGCTTTCCCAGACCTCAGGGCAGCGTGGAGTGCTGCAGGGATTTTGAGAGAGATTAGCTGACTCTAGACCCTTCACGTGGGCGGGACCTCCCTGGAAAACAGCAGTCCAGCTCCTTGGTCTCGACAGCATGACCATGCTTACCTCTCTCTCCGGTACTATCACCTCCTAACACAACCCCGAACCCTCTCACCAAACCACTCCTGGAGTAGGAGCTCCACGAGGCAGGGCCTGGCTGCTTCTCCAGAGCCTGGCCCCTCGTAGGACGCAGGGGTCTGTTGAGTGAGCCAGTGACTGAATGAGTAGCTCAGTGGCCGAGTGACTGCCAGGCCATGCTCTAACTGCCGGCGACACAGCAGTGAACAGGGCCAGGTGCCCTCGCTCTGAGAGCTGACCACGAATGTCCAACTAGCACCTGCCCTGACGGTGGGCAGGGAGTGGAGAGAGGTTGCCGAGGGAGCCTGCCACCTCTGCCTGCCGCCTACCGGAACGGGTATCTCAGAGCAAAGGGCAGGTTCCTGTCCCCGGGCAGGCCCCCCTGCACAGGGTTCCCACCCTAGTCCCAGCCCACCGAAGACCTCGTCTGCCACCTGACTGCTCCTAAACTGTGTCCTCGCAGTCTTGCACCCTTACCGTGGCAACACCAGCTTCTACCCGCTCCTCCTCTGATTGGGGCTGGACAGGAAGGTGCAGCCAGGGCCTTCTGACCACCAGACTTGCCCAGGGGACATGGGGCTACAGAGCAGCTGTGCCCCTGGGCTCATGGGGGCAGGCTGGCTGAGCAGCGAGGGAGGGTGGTCTGGAGCCTGGGAGGACTCTGGACTGGGAATTCTGATCTCGGGGTTGACGAGCTGAATGACCGTGGGTGAGCGTTATTCTCCATGGATCTCAGCTCTCCCTCCGGTAAGATAAGGAGTTTGAGCCAGACTCTAATACTGTCTTGTTGGATTTTTAATTTTTTTTTCATGCTTATTGGCTGACATTTTGTGGACAGATTATTTATTTATTTATTTTTAAAAAATTTGCCAAAGGGTGCATGTGATCTCTGGCGAGAGATGGGGGTGGGGGGGGTAGTAAGAAAGCACCCCTATGGTCACTCTGTGGTCTCTTCTCTTCCATTTCTCCCTGCTTTTGGGATCTGGGGCATGTACGCATAGGTGCCCAGCATGTGATTCAAGGTCTGGGACTCGATCCTGCAGTCGGCCTGCAGGATCCGGTCACCTAACACTACGTTACTGGCTGGCCCAGCAGATTTCAGGGTCAGACTCAGGGACTCAAACCCTGGTTAGCTCGGGCAAGTTGCTTCACGCTGACTCTGGATTTTATCCTCTCTGTAGAATGGCTAGATCTCGCTCCGACTTACCCAGGTCATGAGTCCGTTGAAATGGCAGAAGCGGAAGTGCTTTAGAAATGGAAGGGGCTGCCCTGTGAATGCCATCCATTTCTTTCTTTCACGTGGGCTGTCCTAAGTAACAGCTTACTGAGCCGCCACCACCGGCAACGACAGCGAGGTGCTGAGCGGTTTTTCCTCACATCATCTGTTTCCCGTCCCGGCGGCCCCAGAATGAGCCTGTCATTACTGTTCTCGATTTTCAGATGAACAGAATGGGCAGGTACGGGAAGAGCTTCGCTAGGTTCCCCAGTTTTGAAACGAGCATCTGCAGTGCAGAGAGGGGTCCGCCGCAGGACCTCTCTCCTCATCCTGGGCTCTTCCTCTTGCCAGTCAGAAACTAACGGAGTATGTGGCAGGCTGGGAAGGAGCATAGTGTTTAATGAGCATCTTTCACGTGCCAGGAGCCGACTGGCCTCTCAGGTCTTCCGTGTGCACCCATCACCAGGGGAGTGCTCAGAGGCAGACTCCGATTCAGCAGGCTGGGACGCAGCTGAGTGTCTGCATTGCTAATAAACTCCCAGCTATGTCACTGTCGGGCCGCGGACCACACTCTGCAGGCAGGTGATGGAGGGCTTCCTTGTTACCTTACTGACTCCCGGGGACTAGGTCATAGATGGGAGACGGAGGCCTGACGCACCTCGCTCAGGTCTCACATCATGCAGGGGTCTGACCGAGGCCGGTTTGACACTGCACACTGCAGTGCCCAGGCTCACGGGCCCCGCCTCACCTCCAGGCAGTGTTGTGTCTGCTCTGGGCTTCTGTCTGCACAGCTGAGGCTGCGGCAGGCTCGGAGCCCCCTGCAGCAGATTCTCTGCTGGCTGCTGGCTCAGAATGGGAACAGGGCCCTGGCCAAGCGACCCTGCAGGTGGGGTCCGAGGGTCCCGTTAGGACCCTCACATGCACTGCTCACTGCGTACCACGCCCGTTGTGTGCTCTCCTGTATCATGTCTCTACTCAACATTTTCACGTTTCATTCGCTGCAGAGTTTTTGCATTAGTTTTTGCTACGTCTTGAAAACATAGCAAAGACGTTTTGTATCTTGATGACTGAGTTTTCAAGCATCCCCTCCTACCTCATCTCTCTTACTGCCCTTACCCCAGTCCTAGCTGCCCGGTGTCTTCCTCCTCCTCCAGCCTCGTGGCACTAGGGTGCTGCCTGGGAGGCACCTGGGGCCCACCACACAGCCTACACTGAGGAGCTGCTTCCCAGCAGGTGGGCCCTGCACCTGCACCACCTCGCCCGCCCTTGGCTGGCCTTCAGAGATGGCAGCAGGACTGTGGGCCTGAAGAGAGCCCAGGGGCTGACTGACATGAGCTTCACCCCACCGCGGCCGTCCTGGCTGTGAGACGGACGACTGAATCAGTGTTTCAGATTCTGCTGCCCCTGTGCCTGAGACCCACACAGCCTTCGAGGCCCGCCTTCCAGGCTCTGCAGCCTCTCTGTGCTCCCTGTCTGCCGCCCCCCCTGGCTTACTTGTTTTTTTTTTCTTTTCTTTTTTTTTTTTTTTTTTTTTTTTTTTAAAGAGAGACTCTTGCTATAGGGCACATGTGTTGGAGAGACAGGCAAAAATCAAGAAATCACCCCCAGGGGGCATAGCCATGATGCATTCCCTTCTCCATTCTCCTCTTGAGATTTTGGGCATGCATGCACATGTGCCTGGCTTTAGTCTTAAGCCACCAGGCCTGGGACTTGAACCATGGCTGACTACTTGGGAGACCAGCAACATAATCATTATGCCATTTGCTGATCCCTGCTTCCCCGTCAAGCTTTTTCTTGCCCCAGGACCTCTGCGCTCTCTATCCCTTCTTCTTGTACAGGTGTCCCATACTGGCTTCTCGTCACTTGGGCGTCAATTGCAGTCCCTCTTCCTGAAGTCTTCCCTGACCACACATTTAAATGCTCCACCCTCCTCAGCATGTCCCGCTCTTATTTCCTCCCTGACGTGTATGTGACCTGGCGACACTCTTCCACAGGCACTTGGCCTTCCCATTAGAGTGAGCGCTCAGGTAGGCAGAGGCCTCGCCGTCTTCATCTCCCTCTTTCCAGCTCCGAAAACATGTACTGGCCATGACAGGTGCTCAGTGAGCACTTATGCACTGATGAGCCATGCCCTGGGCTTCGGTCTCTGTCTTTGGGAAATGGGATCATACCACTCTCCCCATGGGGTTGCTGCCATTGTCCAGAGAACATTGTGGAGCATCCACTGGGTGCCCATCAGTCTGCAAAACAACCCCACGAGGTCCAGCAGCATTGCCCCGTGTTACGGGCGATGAACTGGACACCCAGAGACATACTGGGGCTTGCCAAGGTGGCCCGGCTGGGAGGGGCAGGGCTGGGCACCATCCCACTGGTGGAGCACCGGGCCCCAGCCTTGCCAAGTAGTCGCAGATGAGCGGGTGCGGCTCCTCTGAGTCCTGCCATCTGCTGCTTGAACTGCAAGACCCTCGTCGCCTGCCTGGCTGTCACAGCTTCTGACAATCAGAGACAGGAATCCTAATGGCTGTTTTTTGTGGAACACAAAGGCCTGCCTCTTGCAAACGCAGAGATATGTTTCCTCCGCAGGGGCAATTACCACGCTGAATGTCTGGGAGCGGCTTGCGGCTTGCAGGCACCTTACCAAGATTAACTTCTGCACCCACTGCAGCA